CTGCAATGGGGACAAATAGTAGTGCATTTTAAGTGGTAAATAAGTGAGCTACAGTAGTGACACTGCTACGTAAGAAATAACAATACCAGTGCTTACATCAACATGGAGCAAATTAGACGGATAGTACACAACCTGTACAAGATGGATTTACTAGCACAGATATGATATCAATATCAATTGGTATACAAGACCACAAATATTAATGATCGATTGACTGACAAAAGATCTCCAATTTTAAGGGTAAAGACCTAACGTACCAATAGAGAATTATCGTATTTTCCCTAGATATTCAAATAAATTAGTCAATTAGTATCAAATATGTTTTACAGTAAGTAATTGTTTACAATATTGAAATGCAATTCAAATAAATATAATCTATAAATAAATATATTAAGAGTTTTTGAAAAGTAAAAACCATAACCAGACGAGTTCATCAATCAACATTGAAATATGAGAAAACATCAATTCACTGTCTATCTCTCAACCATATGCTATTGCAAAACACTCGCAATTAAGTTAACCGTTTATACAGAGAAAATTTCAAGCATTATGATGAACAGAAGAAGCGTTCTACACAAAGATGTATTGTTAAGTTCCAACTGTAACGAGTTAGCGTTATTTCACGAAATTACTTAGTAATTCGCGACATTTATTTCTTAATTCCTGGCTAATTAAACATGATGCTAAGGTGTTGCATAATAACGAAATAAGCGTCAGCGTATTTAGTAAATATTGCATATTCGCGGCTATCTGTTGTGATATATATGTAATATTTGGCATCAAATATGATACAGAAACATATCCTACCATAATGGAATTTGGTATTTCAGCCAGGAGAAATATAGAAACGCTTGCAAATGTTACGTAGATAAGTCGGGTTAAATGACTAGTATTGCGCGCAGACAAAACCTGACTATTTCCATTGAAATATCGAATCGTTCTTCGGACCATGATAGTCTCCTCCAGTAGCAAAATGACAACTGGGACAGTCTGGATAAGTAAACATCTGATAAGCTGGCCTATTCCGTTGATCTCTGTTAACCACCTATTACTGTCGGTAGTTCTTGGGATAAGCATTGTCGTAACCAGTCCGTTTATCTCTGTTTTAGATTGCACTTCCAAAGAATTGAAAAACCATAGCACAACAATGAATGGCGTAAAAACTGCCAATGATATCAACCCCACAAAACTGATATAAATATAAGCCTTCTTCACGTTAAGTAATTCTTCAACATGGAAAGGAAATGACATGATAATGTATTTTTGGTAAGCCAGTCCTACAACTAGAAACAACGAAACTGCGTGAAACATCGGAGGTAAAAGTTTCATGCATAATATAACCAGAATGCATACATAATAGTTCATGAAATCAATGTCGCCATCTAAAGCAAGGAAGACAAATATTACAGAAATTTGTGGTAAAACTGTAAGCATGTCGGTAAAAGCCTTGGTTTGTTGAAACACTACGTTCCAATTTGATGCCGGTTTCGTAGTAAGAACATAAATTATAAAGCTATTGACTAAAATGATAATACTTCCAACGGTTGGTAAGATATAACAATAATAAACGATATTTTCATTTGTTTTCATGTATTTTGTGTTTATACTGAACACATTACTTTTTAGAAATAAATACTCTTCACACAAATTCCCTGTTTTGTTATGAACACAATATAGTTCCGTAAAATCCCATTTTGTGATGTCTTTGTCTTGATTTGCTATTCGACATTTTGCTACTATATCAAAGCACTTCCAGAATTCACTGCTATTCGCTTCCTTCGTGGCCTCATGGCAATACCCGATTTGATATCCATATTCTTTAGCACATGTGACGTAGTCTGGCTCGACAAATCCTGACATGACGAGGTCGCAAATTTGAACGATATTCAGTAAGAACATCATTGTTTTTGTTAACAGTCTTTCTGTTAGTGATATACCAAATGACATCATGTGGCCAAAATATAAAATACAAAATGAAGTCCATGATGGATGTTTTGGTGTTCCTTTCCAGTTGTTACATAAAAATGTCAAATTTCCCATGACCGAATATTTACACTGATAGATCAAGCTGAAAGCGAATATAATGATTTCCCTTTAAAAACTTACTCTTAACACATAACACAAACGTATGAATTATGAATTACCAGCGCTGTACGAATGATGCTTTACTCCCACAGGCTTCATCTTATATAAGTTTGTAGCCTTCGATATAGCATATTACATCGACGTTTTTAACATCCAATACGTACATTTATGAATATTGCATCATATTTGACACCCAGATTATCAAACATCACTTACGATGTTAAATATCATATCATTTAGTACTAACTACCAACGACGCCATTGATAGAGGAAGTCAATATTCCAAGGGATTATCACTAACTTCAGTGTTGTGATACTACCATTTCATTTTGTCGAATACCAACCTTTACCTATTATTCGTTTTATAATGCTTGACATGTTTATTTAATTAAATATGGTGGCTTTGATTACACGGCCGTCATAAACACTATTAATGGAGATGTGTCTAGTGGCAGAAACGACATCACAAATGATCGACTTATGAAAATCATTAGCTTTTCGGAGAAATAACTCTAGGTATTTTTAATTTCTCGATTGTTTACAGATAAAAATAGAATTACCTGTACATAAAACAATACACTGGTCATTTTTTAAATCATTATTTATCAATGTCTCTGGGTATCCATTTCCCACAACCTCAAGTAAATTGACAAATAAAAATAAGTTCTATTTTGTATTGAAATCTGTCAGTTTCATAGTTACTGAGAAGATATATTTAAATATGACAAAAGTTAGTTATTGACCGTAAGATTTCGTTATCAGTTTGATTTTGTGTATATCCGCGTGTGGAATGCCGCGACACAACAATGTACGTTATGTAACAATATATTGAGACATTTCTATAACATTTGCTATCACCAAATCTCACACGATGAACAAATCTAGTTAAAAGTGACAATTAACTGTAGTTTTTATAGATATATGGTACGAATCTTATCGGATAAGGTCGTTCATATAACTGCATATAGTCGTGTGTGGTTGTTTAACATTTTTAAATGGATATAGGCGTGACCTCTTTAATCATATATGGTAAATAGACTCGCCGAATTAATACTATGACGTCATGCATAATGTGTTCTCGTTTCGCATTCAGGATGTACATATTCATCAGACAAAGCTAAAGTGGTTGAAACCTGCTTTTGCGGTAGTCTGTGTGCCGAGAGAGACGGAATGGCGTCGGTTATATTTATTATTGCATCATTGCAGACTGATTGTATAAAAAATCGTAGACAAAACCCTTTAAAAGGCAATCGGTTTGGTCAGCTTAGTTATGTTTGGTTTGGTTGGCTTACATATTATATTATTAAATGTCCTATCTCTGCTAGGGCCATTGAATGACGACCTCCTCTTGTCTGTAGGACAACATCGAGATAAGCGGTTGATGTAGAAGACTTTAAACTGGAGTGCTGTTATCGTAGATCTACAATTCTGAAAATTACTGTAAAATGTGCCCCAATTAACCGTATAGATAGTTATGAAGCACTATTGTTGCGAAATGGAGTTAAAAGCATGACAATGAGGGTGAAAAGATGAAATTGGAGAGTATCAATAGTTTATGTGAATCATTAAACATCATTGCTAATAGCGCCTGCATCAATTTGAGTATGGTATTTTATGTCAGTACTTACTGGCAATATCTATAACACAATGAAAAGTCAGTCACTGACCATTAATTCAAGGAGTGATTAAACATTTTCCGCATTTAATTTTCTTTGCCATATATTTGTTTTATTTTGTCTTTTATATGCATTTATATATATGGTACAACCTTACTTTTTGAACGTTTACTTTCTAATCCCAGTTATACGTTTGAATGTTTGCTATTGTAAAATTGTTTTTTGTAAACGCACCCCTTTTGGGACCCCTTCGTATTACTAGTAAAATAGGACATACAGTATCATTACTGTATGTGGGATTGCACTGAACTTTGGAAGTCACCTGGGACAAGGAGGACTATCATTCTGATCGATTCATTCATTTGATTTAAGACCGGTAGCAGTATATGTTTTAAAGGGATAAGTGGTACCTATTCGTGGGTTTGTTTTGTCTTACAGTTTACTTGCATATGTCGTAGCTGGTTATATAACGTTAACAATGGCCGAGTCAGTGGCCTTGGCCATTCATAGTTTATGGGGCTTCACGATAATCCAGATCTGATGTGTTTGCTATAATGTGCTTGACTGTTTATGTAATATCAGTTAATGTGTGTTACCGAGGAAACAAAGACTGAGGTATCAACAGTAAGGGAACAGCTTTGTAATATTTTTCAACAGCAGCTGACTTGATGTTGTACACCAGTTAAGTGCTCCACCGGTACACTGCTCATTAACATTGATAAAACGATAGGTGTAAGACGTACCTTGTATGTGTCACATGGTTTACGACACATGGCTTGTATTCTACACGCACCTTTTCATTTTGTTATCTTCAGACGTATATGCATACTATATCATCACCATTTATAAGGAAATATTGAGAACTAAATTCAAACATTGAGCACTGACGAGTTCCTTTATATTCTATGCTGCATTAACTACATGGCCATGTTTAGACTTGTCAAATCTCCTACATTCATTACAGATAGTTTTTGTTTCCTATAAAAGTCACATGAGATAATTATATCACAATAATAACTAATATGGTACTTCTCCGGTCAAAAATATATTCAACGAGAAAAGTTAGTACAACATTCTCTGCAGTAACACTATTGTGATGTCAGAAATAAGTCACGTCTTGATAACGTCATATGATTGTTATGATAGTGAAAAACGTACCATCTAGGTCAAAATAAACCTTATGGATAAATTAATTTGAAAGTTTCGAGTATTTCTCAAAAGAAACAATCATCATAGAACCCGTTTAATAAATTTCATATATAATGTAAGATCCTTTATATTCGTTATACCTTTAGAATCATGGCTGGTTTTATTGAGATCGTCCTCTCCCTCACTATTGGCTACGGATTTTGGATTATTGTCCCTGTCCTATGGCGATATTACAAGTTCTGTCAACTGATCAGACCATTCAAGTCTTTGGAAAAGCCTCATTGGTTCTGGGGACACCTAAAAACTGTAAGTACAGGTATACATACATATTATATATATCAAAATAATGATAATAATAAAACACATTATAGCTTATATAAGTATTTTTGAAGTTACATTAATAGCATTTCGGCGGTCAATGCTGCTAACTTCTAGCCTGTCGGCCTTCCTTTGAATTAACTAATCTTACAGTACATGCAGTCGTTCATAAGATAGACACAAGATAAGATAGTCTTATGATGTAATATACTATCACAAGATTTCCAGACAAGTCCACCCTTGTACCTAATTGAGAGTGTGGTTAAATACGTAATCCGGCTAATCAGTGTTTACCACGGCGAACGTTCTGTTGAATTAAGGAATAAAATGTGACTGGAGTTAGGATGGGAAGGAGATGACCTGACTGAGCGACCAGCGATAACAGCTGAGACAACTTCTAGATAAACTACGAACCAGCAATCGTTGTTGTTATTATTGTATTATACTTCATGTAATCGAAAAATTCATACAAAATGATGTACAGCAAGGTAACCTGGTGACAACTTTACCCCCCTAAATATGTATTGACTTTGTAAGCGTTTAGTTGCCCTCTTTACTAGATCTATTAGACAAATACGGTCGATACACAGACGGCAGTCTTTACATAAAGTGTAGTCCAAATTCGTACTTTCTTGGTTGTAAATTTGGCTCGGTTCAGAATATACACTGTTATAAAACTTTTAGATATATGAACATTAAGAAATTTATTTAATCATGGTGCTGCTGCATCTCCCCGTATAGAATTTGACGTTTTATTCAGTCACTTTATATTTTCCTCAGTCGCCTCCTAGGCTTCAAAATGGAGGTCCTACTGAGGAGTCATAGAAGGAGGAAACAGCGATAAAGTGTAATTCATTGTTTGGATCTGCTCTATCTAACTCTAAATTATTAAAAGGTGCCTTTTACTTGTCTTTTGTACAATCTTTAACTCAAACGCCAAAAAGGATAGGATAAAACAAAGATCGTTATAAGATTATGGTTAAGTTTTTTTTTTCTTTTTGTACTGTTACACCGTTCACCATAATGTTGATGCTAGTATTATGAATGATGAAATGAAAGATGATGATGATGGTGATTATGATGATGATAGTATTGGTGATGATGGTGGTGATGATTATGATGATAAAGATATATAGAAAAAAAAACACAACAAAGAGTTTTTAAATGTGCTCTGACTGCAGTCTATAGAAAATGGAAAGTAGTCTATTTCAGACGAAATTGTATATCTGTTGAAACAGGCACCATTTTTACTACTTATATGCAGAGTTGAAGAAAGAATAAGATCAAGTGTAAAGGAAAGTTAAGCGTCTTCTGCTTTATCGATGTTATCCAACACATTAATTTTGGTCAGAATGAGTTACATATAAAACTGACCATCAAAACCAATGGAGAATCATGTTTTGATAACTTGACTGATCTGTTATACTTCAGATGAAGTTTGCGGAGTCAATTGTTGATTTATATGCATCACTAATGGAAAAAGACACAGGAAAAATGGCAGTTCAATGGCTTTCTTTTATACCAGTTGTAGAGGCTATACATCCGGACTCTGCCGCAATAATTCTGAAGTCGTCAGAACCAAAAGCAAAGAGCAGAGGCGAGCCATATAGCCTCTTTACACCATTTCTAGGTAAGATTATATATATCTCCGCTGTATACTCTATTATCTATATGTAACTGTCGTGAAGTTATATACATTCTATATTTATAGAAAGGTTTAAATAAAGTGAAGGGTTAATGTACCAAATACTTAAAGGACTTAGTTTCCAATATCTTTTATTTATATGAAATATTTGTTTGCTAAAAAAGCGTTTCATTTAAAGTTTAATCGCAGTTTGAAGACCCTGGCCAATTTCTTAATAACTGGTCAGAATGGATATGTTTCTCTCATTTAAGAAAACTCTATGAATAAAAATGCATTTGCAAGACAGCTACACAATAATATACCGGTATATTTAATGTATCTTCACAATAAGATATATCCAGGTGTATGTAAATTTAACAATGATTTAATTGAAACGTTTCTGTCCAAGGTGACGGTTTAGTTGTCAGCAGTGGAGCTAAATGGGAACGGAACCGGAAATTGCTAACACCTGCTTTTCATTTTGATGTTTTACGCTCGTATGTAAATATATACAATGAAGCTGCGGACACCTTATTGGTACGTTTAATAATAGTGTATAATAAATTAACAATTCAACTTAAAAAAAGATTGTTTACTAAACTCTTAACCTTACAACGGAACATTGTTCCTATTTGTATCATTTATGTGCAGGTGAAGGTATCAGAGTACTTAAACAAACCTTGAAAACTGGTCAAGGTTTTTTTTCATTAGCACGATTTGTTAGGATTTTATTGCCAAAAACATGCTCGTCAAATATCGTGATGACAGGACAGAACAAGCGATTTATTTGATTTGAATTCTTAATATCATAACCATTGATGTAAATGTATTATACACCCATTAACAATCAGTAGCAAAAAAAACTGATCTGACAAACTCGTTATACAAGATCTCAAAAGATACATGTTGGTGGAATTATTTGACTATTCTCATATTCGCGATATGCCTGTTGGTTCCGTTGATGATTTCCGCATTCTCCTGAACCTGACATTTTGGATTGGCCAAGATATACATCGATGAAGCAGAAGACGCTGACTCTTACAGAATACCTGGACTTAATTTCCTTGCATTTCTTTCATGAGACTGCGTTCAAATCTTTCGTTTGTTAATATTTTGTTTGATTGGATTTAGTTAAAAGTTATATTGAAATGTTGGTATTCCCTTGTCTTGTTTTTTTTATGATGCATAACCACTATTTCTACAGGACAATCTTGCAAAACAAATGTCTACCGGTCCGAATAGCATTGACGTCATGGACGCGTTAAACCTGGTAACTTTAGATATCATACTGAGGTGCTCGCTTTCTTACGATGGAAATATTCAGAATGAGTAAGCATGATTTAAATCCAAAATTCATATTGTTCAATAAGAATACAAATTTTAATATGTGTTTTCTTTCTCCGTGAATAACATGCATCGTAAACGACTTTACAATTCTCGAAGAACATTATCATGGATGATATGTTTTTCGCGATTATCGATATTCTATCTATAAATTTATCATTGTCAGCCAGCAGTTATGTAATTATCTTTCAACTTATTTTCTGTGGCTAAGAACATTCACGACAAAATTCATTGTATTGTAAATTGTTTTCGAGGATCAAGTAAGAATACGAAAACTAGATAAAATGCCGAGTAAAATAAATCACTGTTGCTTTTTAAACAATACCAAATTTATTTTACCATATACAGTCGTTGAATGTCATGTTAATAATGGTTTTTTTTGTATCAGGAAACAACACCCTTATATTGCAGCAGTTCATGGAATGACGAGACTCACCATGGAACGACTCAGGTAGGCTTTTACAATAAACATACATATAATAATGTTATTTTAGATTATTTTGTTTTTTACCGATATGATTTAAGCAAATGTTTAACAAAAGTATTCAAGTTGTTTGCAAGCAGTGAATCAAAATCAGTTTGATATAAATCGTTGATGTTTAATAAAATGCTGTTCTTCATTACAGGAAACCTTGGCACTTCCTATGGTGGAATCTCTATATGATGTCTGAAAACGGCAAAGCGTACATGAAATATGTCAAGTACATGCACAGATTTGCAGATGAAATTATCGCCAAAAGAAAATTGGAAATAGTTCGTACATACCAAAATGAAACTTTATATTTTACATATTTTAACGTATGTAACGATTAGAACTTTTTGTTCGCAGTGAAGCAATTGTGTATAACTTTGCAAATTGATTTGCCCTTGTCCTTTTCAGAATCGATCATGTAGAATATTTTGCGAGTAAAACACGAGTTCCAAAATGTGCAAAGTAAAGAATAAGGCGGAAGTGTTAGAAACTTTATTCCGTCATTTGTAGGAACATATAATATGTTAACACCCAATCTGCTCTAAATAAATGTTTTCGAGTTTTTCCTGTATGACCAGGCACATGACCCATCGTTACTTCAAAAGAAAAGGAAGTTGGACTTTCTTGATATAATTGTAACAGCTAAAGATGAAGATGGAGAAGGATTATCAGAAGAGGAAATACGTGATGAGGTCAACACCTTTATGTTCGCAGGTAAGTCTTATCTATCGTTTATCATGCGAAGAATTTATTTCTAAAATAGCTCATCATCAGAATTCACTGCAATAGCTGTTCCCAGAAAAAACTTTAACATCGAAATTATTTTTAAAGTTTGTTTCCCTGTTTTCCCTCAGGACATGACACTACCAAAGCAGTCTTGGGATGGGCCATATATAACCTTGGTAAATATCCAGAGGAACAGGAAAAACTGTATAAGGAAGTATGTGACGTCACAGGAAATCGAAAGGATATAGAATGGTAAGAGCAACACATTTTTACCAGCTTTAGAATTAAAACATTGTTCTTTAACAGTTTGTATGTAATCGTAGGCTACTATATTACCGTCACCATTCAAATATTTCTAGATGGTGCATTTCCTAATGATTTGCTTGGAACTTACATAGTTATAGTATGGAAAAGTCTGTTGCATATTTGAAGCACGATCTGTAAATGATCTATTTAAGGTTAACTGTACGCATCCATACTCGTATCGAATCAGTGCGTTGAAAGAACTTGAATTTTAATTCAGGTTAGATTTCAAATATTTGTTCATTGTTTAGTGTACATAAATTCTATGAATGTTATATAAACAAAAAATCTATTACATACTTTCTTTCACATTTCCTAGTGGTAGGCGTCGTTGCAATCATTGCTTGCTTTCGATCGATGATGCTTCTTCTTTTTACACTAAGTCACATCCAATTGCACACATTATTGATACTGAAAGTACACTGATCAGTTTTAACACTTAAGTTTTTAAAATCTTTTTACAGGGAAGATCTTCCTAAACTATCCAAGATGTCGATGTTTTTGAAGGAGACTTTAAGGCTGTATCCAGCAGTTGAGACAGTCACTCGATCCCTAACAGGACCACTGGAAATTGAGGGAGTTACTCTACCTGCCGGCACTTTGATTGCTGTCAACATTATTGCCATTCATCTTCGGCCTGATTTCTTCCCTAACCCAAAAGTTAGTGTGAACGACATTGGTTACCTTTTTGTTTCTGTCGTTAATCATTTCTACAGTGCTGCATGAACTGCTCTAGATGAACTATTACGATCCGAACAAATGTGATCATTTGAAATTATGTAAAGTATAAATATTCAGAATAGACATGCCGACTGTTTTATGACAAAGGTTACATCTTAAAAGTATCACCCGTGCATTTTGATTTATATATTTGATAGTGCGGGTTTTGGTTCCCTGCAACTTTAAAGTTGTCTAAAATAACTATATTTTCAGAAAAAAGATACTGCCTATCTCAATGTTGAACCCGATAATATTATCTGGCGACACAGGATTTTAAATTTCCAAAATGCTATTTCATATAGAACAGTTCTCGTCAAATAAAAACGTTGTAATCATCCCGTGAAATTCTCTTTGGGTTGTCTAAAAGCAAAACATAGGGCCAAATGCGATGCATTATGCCTTTTAATGATTTCCTTTTAAACTGAATTATTTCTGTTTTAATCCACCAGTATATGTAAGATACAATAATTATGCTTTCTGTCGATGACTAGTGTCATTTTACCAGTATTCCCTTATCACGACGATCGACAGTAATGGGTATCACTTTCTGATATATCTAAATGCAATCAGGTTAAAAAATAATTTTGAAACGTAAATTTTCAAATGGTTTAAAGCGACGGGCCCTTTGTGATGCTATCAGACATTACCCCTGGCACTTTTTCACAGCAAAGCTAATACTTTTTCCACTTTATTTTGTTCTTTATTACGAGAAATAAAAACTCTTAAATACTCCAGTAAACTTTCAGTACTTAATGATGAAATCACCATAGAAAAGTGTTATTTCCTCAGAAAGCGGTTGATTTTAAACAGGTACCAGAGGTAAACTTTAACAATCACTTTTCTAAAGATTACCAAAACGTTTTTTAGGAGTTTCAACCAGAACGGTTTCTGCCAGAAAACACAGAAAACAGACATCCGTTTGCCTACATACCATTCTCAGCAGGACCGAGGTTCGTTTAATTTTACTAACAGCACTGATATATGTAATGAGGTCAAAGGTAAACGGTGATTTTTTTTTTTTTTTTTTTTTATTTAAATTTGATGTTATGTAGTAGATTCTTAAAACTTGTATTTTGAATATGTACTCGATATGCAGTAAATAAGTTATTTTGAATAATATTTGATATCAAGTAGTTCGTTGTTGCCGATCGCAAATCTTCAAAATCGATACTCTATGCCAATAGCTAAAATTAGTCAGAAAAACGATGAAAAAATATTCCATTGAAATTAAAGAAACCGTTACGCTTTAAGTGTTAAGTTTACATCTACGGGATAAAAGATATATTTTTGTTGAAATCTCAATTATTCACAAATAAAGGAAAGTGGCACTTAATGTTTTGAGAATTGTGTAACCTAATGAGTACTAAATCCATTGAGATTAATGGTTGGTAAGCAGTATATTTAATTATTGTATCTCTAAAGATTGCCGTCACCATGATAAAAAGCGTCGCCAGATGAGGACATATATGAATATATTTATATAATCTAATATCAAATAAATATCAAATTGTTTCATCGTGTATTTAATTAACCTACTCTTTTGTACATTTTCAAATTCCTTTGGTTAATTTAGATGAATAATATTTCCTTATTAATTTCAATGATTGGTTCTTATCGGCTCTGGTAATTGATGAAGTTAGATACATTGGTCGACCGGTACATTTTACGATTCCACCTACTTTTACATTCTTAAAACCATTCTTTTCAACTTAGCCATGAGTTTCTTTGTTAATAAATGTATACATTTTCAGGAATTGTATTGGAAAGAACTTTTCAACTAATGAACAGAAAGTGTTGTTATCTAGAATACTTAAAAGGTACGTAATGACTACATTTTGTTGTGCTTTTATATTTTATAAAATGGAAGAATAAATACCGCTGTGAGATTTATATCGTTATATTTTACTTTTGACCTGGCGTCTGTTTAATGAAAAAGAAAACAAACATATATCTATACTGTAACGATCTCATTTGTTAAAGTTACAAGTGGTTGATTCTCGCTGGTTTACATTATAGTTCCATTATTGTCAACCTTGTTCTCATTTGAGAACGTGTAACTACTTACAACAATTGACAAAGATTTACATAGAAAATGTCGACAATAATGAATTTGTTCAAATTACCGTTTTCGAATTTTTCAGCTATTTTTTGTTGATGTTTTTTCCTTATTTTATATCAATTAAATATTAAGCGTTCTGGCAATTATTAATTAAACTTCTACATATTTATCCATCGTATTTTCATGTTGTTTTCAGGTTTAAAGTCGTGTTGGACAGAGATCACAAAGTCAGTCCTGCTCCATTATTTATAGTACAGTCCTGAAATGGCATCAGAGTTCGTTTTGAGGAAAGAAGATAATGAAACATAGTCCATTTGAGCATTCATCAGTGACTTTTGTACAACTTTGGAGTTGCAGGAGATATATTTTGCTTGTAAACTATATTAACATTGTTTGTAGAATGGTTGCATATCATGTTTGGCTTATTTCTTCGTGAACTACCATGATCAGCTGAAATCGTGGTCTCCTTAGACTAATTGTAGCTGGTTTTCATCAATGTTTACTGTATCCCGTTCATACGCATTTCATTTGATGCAGGGTAGATGATAAAAGGACAACTCATTATTTTCTTGAGATGTTCGCTTAATGCACGTTATATAATTTACATTTCCTATACGAACTATACTTATAATCATTTTTGGCCATCTCTTTAGTAAATAATTGCTTAAAGGCGCATTACGTCTTTGAAGTTATTCCAAGTCATAAACATAAAACTAAACGAAATCTTGTATTTTTGAAGTAAATACCAGACGAAAGATATAAACGTAACATTACTTTTACAGATGAATCACAATTCAAAGTTCTTTACTGATAACACGTGAAGAGTGTTACTTTCAACCAGAAGCACGAAAATTAATCCCACCAGCGAGTTTAAATACAAACATATGATTTTTTTTGGTTTTTTTTTTTTTTGTGCAATTTGTGATCAAAAACAAATAGCTGACGGCGGCGGTTTACCGACTCGCTGGAGGAGATTATACATAAGATTGCTAAAATCAGAGACAGCTAAGAAACTAAGAATAAAATCCATAGGTCAATGAACACCAGAAAAGTCGGTTAAAGCCATATAAAGTACGAAGGTGGCTAAAGAGCATCCTCACTTCGTACGCACGATACGAATTGGCTCTGCTCGGAACGATAATCTGTTTCTTTGCAATACATTGCCGTTTTCAATATCGGTTCAGACGCCACATCGGTAAGAAAACCTTTATCATTACATTTCAGAAATATGTTCTTTAAACGTTTCAAAGTGCAATATTATCTAGGCATTATGGCCCATAATTACTGTCTGGCTAAACTTTACTCTTCACATTATAAATAATAAATGACACCTCTTCAACGATTATCTTGTGTCGTTCTTGGTTGACAACAATGTTTATCCATATACATGTTTGTTATTTATGGGTTTTTAAATGTTATGTAAAAAGTATTCAATTAAGAAGCATCATTTAGAGGTATCTAGTAAAGGAATGTTTCGTTAAGAAATCAGGTATTTGTATTTAACCTTTTTTCTAATCAGATTATGGTATTCATATGAAATTCGTAGCGTTTTCTTTTACAAGATCACCCGTAAAATGTAAATATGAACAGTATCAATATAATCATTATAACTAAGTTGACTTTTGATAGCAGAGGAAAAAGGCAAATAGATGTTAAATGTGTGCAAAAAATATTGCGTAATTGATAAATGTCTGTGGGGTATTCAATTTCGCGCTATGTTTGATGACCGCCATTGCAAATTAAATACCCCGCGAATATTACTGTCTATACCATTGCTTGTCAATCTTCATTTTTCCTGTCATAAGTGTTTGAATTAGGCCACACCAAATCAAAAACAGTTGTTTGGAAATATTTTTTGGGGAAATACTTTATTCTATTCATTATTTTAGGTTCTCGATTTCTTTTTCTCCCTTTCCCTTTTCTTTAATTTTTGGTGTGTGCGGAAAGCAATTTAACAACTATTGGTTTTGCTGGCTGACCAGGCACTATATTGGCTAATTTACATGGTATTTGTAAATATTTTTTTTGAAAGTTGGCATGTTTATATACAGTGAAATACAATGCAATTATTACGTCATTATAAAAGACATATTGTCTGAAGTACTGATCCATTCTAACATTCATTCCATAACTTCTCATGTACAATTTTTGTGGGTTTTTTTGTGTTCTCATGCCAAAGGAAATATATATTTTAAATGCATGTTAACCTTGTTTGTGTTAGTATGTTGAATACATATTTTTTTTAATTTTCACATGTTATCAATGTTGAACAAAAAACGAAAAACTCAGCATTCTTAATTTATTCAAATGCATATTAGCTCAAATAAAATTTTGACGTTTACAGGCACGCGACAAAACGTAGGGTTTAAGTTACGTTAGCGAAGTAAGTGCATAGCCCTTTTCTTAATCATTTACACAGTTTTATGAATAATTTGATCATAAATTACAAATAGCTACACAAGCTCACATGCATAGTATATTAGGTGCAATATCACCATACCACTTTTCGTATACTCATGCTTAATACAGAACACTAATTACAGTGAACTAGTTCTATAATTACTAACCGACTTAGCTTTGAAAAGACTTTAGCTCGGCCAATACGAACGCATATGTATATATGTTTGAACTAGGCGATTATATTTCGTCTTGTCAGATGAATATTACGCGACTTTTTTCAGTTTCAGTTTAATCGCAAGGCTTCTTCCACGTTGCTTCTGATTTAATTTGTCCATAATCAATTGTCTGGAAAGACATTTTTCCGCCAGTCTGGTAGAAGTTTTTATATTGTGCATCACGTTGATTTACATGTATCTAGTTTTCCACTCGCATGTATAACACATACTTTCGCGCAGTCATCAGGAGCATCAAAAATTGCTTCACTTGAGTTCACTACCCTGGCAATTTAAGCGTCAAAGCGACTAAAATTGGCGATGCATAAAATTAAAATCCGACGGTAACAAAACCGGAATTTTGATAATTTTAATTTTATTTAATTGTAATTGGTATATAGCATTTGCTGCGTTTCTATTGATGCAGTTGATTCATTATTTGACTTTATTATCTAATACAAAATTTGTTTAGAAAGACTTTTTTAATTTGTTTGTATTTTGCACAGTCGTGACAATACATTTTAACGAAAGGGGTCTGGTTTGATTACATGGAGAGCTATTGCTTTCAAGGGTGAAGAGTTTGGTCGAAAACCGAAAAGAAATAAATTGTAAACAGTGAAATAATAACAAAAACTTGGCTTCTACTTGATAATGATTAGAAAGTCATTGGCAACACACAATCTTGCGGTGTGTTTTTGGAACTCTCGTTTTAGTGTGAATAAAATATCCTTTTACACATTAAACTGGTGAGTGGATAGCTGTCATTGAATGATGTAAACAAAACCGGACTACAACATCATACAATTTTCAAATATCTTACAATATGCAAAGACAATTATGAACCAAAAAATAACGGATTTACTCATTTTGAATTTCTGGCTGAAAGCAATTATACACCACAAGATCAAAACGTCCTCTGTTCATAAATTATGTGTCCTAATTACGATTACAGGATATATTTCAATCTTGTTGGTGTCTCTTGTTATCTGAATGGTGAAAAAGATGAGAATCTAGCAAACATCAACGACACCTTCCCTGTTGTATCTGTTTGGAATGTGAGCGCCAACTCATAAACTAATTTGATAGACTGAAAATTGACGCGAATCAGTTGTCAATGACGTTGTGATATTTATGCTTTTGAAACGTATCTAAGAAATTAATTTGAAGTTTTAACATGATTTTCTTAGTTACAAGCTGGTATGAAAGAAAAACCTATTTGCGAGTTTATTAGCAAACTGTTAGATGTTGTTATGATTTCTTGAATGGTACCGAAATTACCACCACTTCCTTCCTTAATATAAGCGCATATGTGATATTGTCTTTGTTCCATTTCTTAAGAGTTTCATAAAACAAGTATAGGTATTGCTTCCTCTCACATGGGATTACACGTTAAAATTATGTCAAGTTTCATATATCTAACGTAAAACTGAAACAAGTGTAGGATTCTACTGATAGTATAACTTACACCTTTTGAGAGCATTCGTATAATCAGAATATATTATAGAAACACAGTATCTAAATCAGCGAAATTGACACTTAATATGTCTACCTGTGCTGACCTCAGAATGCATACGACGCTTTTAAGTCATATCATTACGATGAAACCAGATATGAATCACCACAAAGTACGTCGACATCTACGAATTTGAAAACAGACATAAATTATTACGAAAATGTAAAGAAATACCGATACGAAAAACACCAAGAAAATACCAACAAGGCAACATGATCATGATTCACACTGAAATTTAATAAAAATAGGGCCAAATATGAACAAAAGAAAACATTACACGGGTACTCCTGAAAAAAGCACAAAGATAATAAGACCGGGTGTTCCGGAAGAGTAAGTTTCTTATGCTTCATGGACGACACCCGCCATGTAAACCTTGGTCAGTCCAAGTAAGTAAAGTCATGTTCTCAAATGAGAGTAAAGTATACAACAATAGAACCTACAGGCAAATTAAAGAACATCAAACACGTCCAGCTTCATATCACACAAATCATATTCTTTTTCAAATTGCCAAGCAAATATCTCAAATAGATGGTGAGTACAGAGACAATAATGACGATGATAAACGTTATAGAGATAAGATAATTAAGGGACAATATTTTTTTCTATTTTCTATTTGATAAATATTCAATGTACATTCCTCCCGATAGAGCGGTACAACTTTCTGTATATCTTTATAAGCTTAAATGCACGTTAACATTGAAGAATTACCAGGCCAAAACAACTCATCTCCATGCTAACGGTTGACCACCTGACTGAGAACGAACACGTGAAAGCTTGAGTTGACTTAGGATGTCCGAAATTAACAATTGATAACAAAAATATTACACTCGAAAACACACAAGATAATTATCTACTCACTCATACGACGAAGCAAATGTCCAATTATCATTGTCCTAGCTGAATTACACATTGGCATATTTTGTATATTAGAAGATGTGAGTGGTCGTTGTATTCAAAATTGTCTAAAATGCATGTACGTATGCAGTAATGAATAATGTTTATCCTTCAACTGTCGTTGTGAGATATCAATCACCGACAAAGACGCCAGACACAATGGAATTAGACTCGGCTATTCCAGGAAATCGAAGTCACGTAAAATTAGCCTAATTCCCGCAGCATCATTCTTGACTTTTTCAGGGGGCGGTAACTCCCATGGAAAGTATGCCATGTCATTGCATTGCAGTCTTCTACACCATTGTCGATGGAATATTTTCCATTCAGGTTAGACTGACCGCAGTCGTTGTACCACCAGCCCGCAGGTCTCAATTCTGGACAGTTTATAGTGTTGTTCATTTCTTCCTCTCTATCAAATGTGCTGAATTTTAATCCATTCAGGTTCCCCATCGCATCGCCTTCAATAATTTAAATTATACACATAGTACATATAGTTTTGACATCTCAAAATTTTATTCAAGGGATAATGAATACTTTATAAAATATTCATATTTCATCTAAGCGGCAAGATATGATTTCCCAAAAGGACATGAAACGATTGAAAAGCTCGTCCGGCAACGTGGACTTTATACATGTACTGCAGTTCCATCCCGTGCTAAGACAATCTTGTATCGATAATAAATGGAGATACAACTAACATCATAGGACATATCACGTGATACCTATTCAGGTTCATTTCACTACAAAAGTAAAGCAAAACATGCGCACAATTCATATCGTACTTATAAAATATCATGGTTTAATTATACATATAAAATATTTACGTCTATATTCTTTCTTGGAGCAGATTCTTCAGATTCAGGATTTCAATAAAACAAAAGTTAGTATAACACAACCAATACAATATTTTTTGTGTGATGATTCAATGACTACACAAGTGGAAAGGATCCAACGATTTTTTTTCTGGTTGTACTATAAACATATATAGACGAAGGTTGAAAATAATACGACGAAGTAGTAAACAGATTCAAAGAACACAAATTACACACTATATGAAAAATGTACTGTAGTCGATTCAGCGATGCATTGTTTAACACTTGGCCATAGATAAACGAGAGTCTGAGTCTAAGATCCTTCATAAATACACACAAGAAGTGCCTTAGGTTCAAATTGCACATGGTCACCTCTTCATTGATAAGGATGAATGATTGGTTTGAAAGAAATTTTAGTAAACAATTCAATAATATTACAAATAGAAATATTAAATTTGGGATATAAAAACAAGCTTCAAATTTATAGGCAATTCCATAAACATCTAAACTATTATTCCAGTAAACTAGGACGTAATTTTTTAAAACAGCTTATATTTCATATAAAGGATACAATGATAGATATACTTTGTATTCATTATTCTTTCGTATTGTAACAACAATATATATAAAGTGATAATATTGGAATGTTTTCAAATTCTTTTGCTTCAGTAACATGAAAGACCGATGTGTTTACAAATTACAGATGCTCATGTCTCTACATTTCAGAAATTAATTGTTACCAGTTAGTTAGTCGTATGACACAATTACAAATACATAGAATAGTGCCCGTTAGAGTGACATGATGATCTATCTGTTGTCTTGTCATGGAGTGGATAGATCTATGGAATAGAAACATCCGGAAATCATCAATAGAATTCGCCTCAGTAAATAAAAATAATAACAAAACATTTTGTATATGAGTGATTTCGCGTTGGACTGCCACATCTACATATAACAGACGACATTGTCCAACTTGGTAATATTGCATGTTATGGCGGTAAAAGGGATTTCGTCGCAAATAAGGTGTTTTGCAATAAATTTGTTCTCGTGTCATGTTACAACTTTGTAAAATTACTTCATCATTTATGTTTTTATGAAGTCTTGTAACTACATTTCAACAACTTTGGACATATTAGTATACCGGAAGTGACCGGCGGCCATATTTGTTTACTGGGTAGACATTTAACAATATTCTTACACAGACCGAATCACTGTTAAGCGTAGGACACTGTCTCAGAAACTGCAATTCGATGTATGTATGACATATTGACACATCTGATACATCCAAATAATTTTGTAAGAACAAATCTTATATACAGTTTACTTACCCGCCGTCCCAGAATAGCCATCAATTGTGAGAGTATACTGTAAAGCCTGCCAGCCAATTTTGAAATTGCTATACAAAGCAAATTTACCGACTCCTTCCCAATCTTCTAACTCAATCCGGACTTCGCAGGGGCGATAATTGCACAGATACTTGCTCACCTCTAACCCTGAAATTGTATTGGTCTAGTTAGAAACATTTCAAGACATAATTTACAAACAAACGAAATGACGATGACATAAACAAAGCGCATCCAGATGTAAGATCAAATCTTAGATGTAGTTTACTTACCCGCCGTCCCGGAGTAGTCATCAGTTGTGAGTGTTTACCCTATACTACTTGTTACTCTTCCTCTCTAATCTCTAATCTCCTATTTTGGCGTATATGTTTGAAAAATAAGCCCTTAGCATTAACTTGTATCAACATACATACCACGTCTTGATTTACTTGAATAGTTGCACGGTGCAGAAAATAAATTCCCCTTTGAGGTTCTTTGAAATTGCGAGATTTATGAAAATGGAGAATTAATTGAAACATGTGGCTAAAACAACCATACATGTGTTCCTTAGTTGGCATGGTAACGGAACAATCTATGCTGATGTGCCTTTGAGCGAGACACTTTATTCTGATTGCTGTGAATGTCATGCGGCGAACCTTTCGTACATATATAGTATTCAGTGAGGTAGCACCAGGAAACTACAAGGAAACTTAACCGCAAATGAGTCTCGTTGTTCACAAGGCGATTAACACGGCTAAAAATAGAAATTGATATCAGGTAAAATTATCACCAATTTAGAACATGTATCAGTAGAATCGAAAAAAATATTTTCGCAAATGTTCTAAAGGTGTTTAGATTTGATGATAAACACTCCTAATGTCTGTTCCATTTAATTTCAGATTGATGAAACTCGTACTGAATTTTTATCTTGCCGGAAACGTCATGTAACACTCTCTATATAATATATAGTAATAGTATGTACACTTACCAAGCCAAAATTCTCCACTGAAATTTCTGAAGGTTTCTTTATACTGACCAAATGTTCTATTAAAAGATAAAGACCCATCAAAGCGGTTTTGGAAAACCTGCAAATGTTCAAATACGTGTATTAATAAAATGTTCATAAAAAGACGACTAGTCTTCTTATTTTACATTGCAGCTACTTTTTCACATTGATCAAATATGACAGATTAAAACTTTAAAACACAATACTGAAATATACTGACAATCTGTAAATTGTTAAACACCCTCGTTAACATGTGTGTTCGATAAGTTATTTAAAACATATAAAGGTTTCTCGAGACATCTAATCCCTGTGAGTCAATAGACAATTTGGCTTTCTTTTCAAATGTTTCTTCAAGGTATATTTATATTCTATATGACAAAATTTTCGTTGTAAACAAATCAAGTAACAATTAGTCTCAACAATCTTACCGTAAGTTATTGATAATGATAATTTAAGGGCAAGGTTGAGACAATTCTCATTAAACAAGCCAAAAATTACTGCGGCTATACACAAACTACATTATTAAAGATTTCGCTAGACGTTATTACTATGCAAAATGCGGTAATGCTTTCATGGAGCTTTATTCGCAAGTGATATGATAATATGAATTTCACTCGAAAAGCTGCAGATGTTATATAGAAAATAGTTATATATGTCAAAAATAAATTTTCTATAACGACAATTTACAAGTCGTAAATAATAAATTACATCATACTTATAAACTCATCGAATATATCATAATTGGTGGATGCAAGATTATGGAGAAAATATCTGCTCAGACGTTCGCCTCAAATTTATGTGTCTAATTTTCCTATACCTAAGGCTCTTGTAAACTAAAATAATCAACTTTATGAGAAGGTACGTGTCCTTTAAATTATCAAGTGTTAAAATCCTGAGTTCTAATCAAGAGTGACCTTCAATCCGTCGTCAGGATATGTTTAAGGAACGTCCAAGCAATCTAGCAATAAGGTTTCAATTTGTGTTAGAATTTTGTTTCCACGTAGTTTGAAATTCCGAAATTTGGCAAATTGTGAATGACAAAGGAAATCGAAATATGTAATGAAGCTTGCTATTTACTTGTGTGTCTGTTGCACAACCGCTCCAAGTTCTGAAACGTACTTGCTAAAATACATATGATTTCTAACAGCATGCGAATTACTCTTTTCGTAAAATAATGGGTTGGGTTATGAGAAAAATAAATAAACTTAAAAACTTACCGTCCATCCACCTCCGTGGGTGTCCATATCACAAAGGACTGTTATTTTGTGATGGTACCTTGGCTGTATCAGATCAAATACGCCGGTGGAATGCGGACTGCACATCTTTTTCCAACCCAAGCAGCTATCGGACCCTATAATACATATCAAAGGAAAATGGTTACCGAAAATATAATTTCCGTTAACGTCGAAATATATCCGTGCATGTTCTTTTTAAAAGATGTGAAAATGAACATATTAAACTGTATTGCAATATCGCGGGGTTTTACGTTGTATCCGAACGCTTTTAAGTTTTTTTAAAACGACAACTTCTTTTCAAATGCTTTTCTCAAAATCAAAATTTTCACTTCGAAAAAAAGAAATTTGAAATAGAATCTCATTGATGAAGGAAGGTTTTTAAATACTTACATTGGTGATAGTAAATTGCCCCTTCATATGAGACACCGTCAGACGCACAGTCAAAAATTGTAGAATACAACCTGCATAGACCACTGTGCGTATGGACAGTGAAAGACAGACAATGCTGTATTTTACAGTATTCCGCACAGACCTGGAGTCTAGTTACACTGTTGTACTCTTGGATAATGTTTTGTGAAAACAAAATTCCAGCCAAAGTTTCGTTTCGTTGGTAAAGATTTCTGCATGCTTTTATGTTGACGGTATGTAAAATGGTGATGAGGGCGAAATGAAATGCGTTCATCTTAAAAGGCATCATTTATAGCACGTTTGCTTCCTACTATAACTAACAGGTTTTCACCATATCCATCTGTACAGTATCTGTTAAATGTTAGCATGTTGTGGTATTATTTTGTTTGTATTCGCGATACCTATCGCTTTCTTCGATTTCAATATCATTAAACAGAAGGTAAGTTGAAACAGGTCCGAGTTATTGATAAATTTTCATTTAGTTAAACACATTCAAAGATTGTTTGACGTTGATCCTCATTAATTCAAGCTGATCAATACAAAATAGGAATGTACCTCATATCGTATATTTCTTCGTCTAATTAACTAGGTTTTGTCATAACAATTATGAAGAAGTATTGACGAAAATATCGAACATATCTCCCCTTGACAATTAAACAATACAATGATCAATAGCGAAATCTTAATTAGTTTGTTTGTTTAATGTGAAAGAAAACATAATTACGGTATTATTTAAATTAGTTTTAGTAATTTGTCCCACATCGATATTGCTGTAGCCGTATTTTCTACAAGTTAATTGTATGTAATGATATCTTATCGATGAGAGGGATGGGGTAGTTGCTATGGAGTCCGCCATCTTGGAGTACCTCAGCAACGGAAATCCAATTTGGCGCGCTAATCAACTCCATAAACGTATGGCTCCTCATCCACATTATATCATCATACCGGAGTGTGTGACGTCAGCACTCACCGAGTTATCGCCCCTGTCAATAATTGTCTCCCCTGTTCTGCTTGCCTTGTTTTTGATACGCCCTACTGTGTAATTCGACTGACGGCTAATTTTTGACGACTCATTGATGTTTTAAGCTACAGCAAAGCACGTCATTCGACTGACGGGTTGGTGTTGACGACGTCATTAATGTATTTTAGCTATAATAAAATACGTAAATTGATTGAAAGTAGCAAGCAGCAGTAAAACAGCAGCAAACAGCAGCAAAATTTGATTTGTTTTACACCATTAGATATTTTTTTTTAATTTAAATGTAATTGTGTTAGTGAAAAATATACATTTTGCATATAGAAAATATTCTAAATTCAAGAAATGTCATAATTTTATGTTTTTGAGGTTAAATGTAAAACAGAATAAAAAAGAAACATTTTGAAAATAAAAAATTCAAATGGTAAAATGTTATCAATCAAAACATCAAAAACCAATTTTTGCATGCAAATAACAGCAGAAAAACTCGCAAAACGGCATAAAAAAAATAGCAAACAGCAGCAAAACTGCAGCAAAACAGCAGCAAAACAGCAGCAAACTGACGCAAAACAATAGCAAGCAACAGCAAAAGCAGCAAAACAGCAGCCATAATGTTCTAATCTCAATAGACAAATAAATGCTCTTAACGTATTATGTATCTGCGATGTTAGAAACACTTTCATCTATTTTTAAGGCAACAATTGCATTGGTAGACTATCAAAGGCGTAGAATCAATGAATATCAAGTATGTTTATTCAGATTAAAGGACGAAACTTACAGACTTGAATGATAAATGACGATATGGATAAATATGCATGGTCATTATCTGCAAAATATTTGTATAGAAGTCTGGAAGAAAAGAGACTTTTTCAGCAACTTTGCAATTGAAATATTTTTTCCGTGGGACTTCTTCATAGTTAAACCACACTTTTCCTTTGAGTTAATATCATCGACGTAATTCCATACTGGGTTCAGTCATTCTAATAAAACGTTTCAATAAAAAACACAAATGAATATGTTACAGGCGTGTTAAACTTCAGTTTCCGTAAGACTCCGTCATGACATTTTATAGTAGATATGTGTTATCCCTCTTTGACCGTGTACATCCACATTTCTTATAAAGTTTTCAACATATTCTTTAATTGGAAAGGTTTATGGTACATTTTCATGATTCAAATAATTGCATGTTCTTTTGAAATTACCAGATTTATGAAAATTACGAAATCTATTGATTAACAGGGTTATTGCCCCTACCCATCTAGATTTTGACATTCCTTCCGATCGATTTTGATTTTGCGCATTCGCAACTAAGTATTACAGTATAGGACCTTAGTTTCGCTGCTGAGAAAATTGTAATATGCAGTTTGAGTTTTCATATTAATAGCCATTGGCCTCAAGAGATATTCTATTGCCACCCTTTCTGAAATCAGAATAGATATGATATTAATTGCTTGTTTGTAATTAACACCTGACAACACCTCTTGGTAAAGAATATAAATTTTGCTTAAAGAGAGAAAATTCAAACCCTTTCTCACATTCGTTATGACGGGTTTTATACAGATAAACCAGCATATTGTGCAGTAAAACTTATTTTTATTCATATTTCTGATTCGAATAAATGCTGATATGAGTTTATATATTTTTCATCAAACGTGATTATTTTTTCATCATCTTCGTTGATACATCACTTAACAACAATTATAATTACTATAAAAACTAATCATCAATTTGAATTCTGTATGGAACATATCTTTTTCTGTATATAGTATTTAAATGCTGTTTTCTAATTCTATATATATATCCCTTCCTAGGTATAATTTATATTTATCTATTCGATTTTTACTTCGCAATTTTGCAAATTTCTTATTACTAACAAAGTACACCGAATTCCATCAAACATTAGACAATGCACATTGTTCGAACAGCGGCGAGTCCAAAGCAATAGTCAATTTGTAGCGGAAGCAGTGGGTGGCATTGTTAAGGCGTCACGAGTCAGAGACATAAATATCCATAAAATAAATGAATGGTAATGTAGAAACGCAGGCAGATCGGTTGGTTGGTTGGTTGGTCGGTCGGTCAGTAGGCCTTTGTGTTTTAATCTCAATCGAATCCATAGACCAGTATATACAGTATACAGTATGTAGATTGCTTCTGTTATGAGTTTGTAGACCGATATAGTACAGGTCTGTTACTTTCCCTTCAATATTTTTCACTGTCTTTTATCTACATGGCATAAAATTCAGGAAACTTAACTCTTTATTTCATATTGACAATAATAATCAGTGTTGGATGTTATATCAATGACTTGGGTTAGTATTTGCTTACATTTGTTAATTGTTTCAGCTATTTTTTAGCAATTAATTGTTAACAACCCTTATTCAGAACATACCCGTGACAATTCTGGTATTACCACAAATAACGGAAGGATAAAATCTTCCATTTTGAATTCCTTTTTCATGTTTACAAAGACTCGCATATCACACTCACCGAAACATTCAAATAAAATACTCCTTTAACATCGATTACTTGAAGAACACTCCTCTTATTCTAATTTGACTAATAAAACGCGAGACTCGTGATGCATATGATGGAAAATGATGGAAAACATACATATCTGAGTTTACTTGTATTATAAAAATTGGCATAAAATCTAAAAGGTTAATTACCATTTATATATTGCATTTTGATGATTTTTAAAACATGTCATTAATCTCGACGTTTTCACCTAAAAATTAACAGTAAAAATATGTTAAGATTTTCCCTTCGACCTCCCCCCTTGTCATGGCGTTATGTCGGAGATGTCATCATTTTTGTTTGTAGGCCTGTCCTTACCTGAGGTTGTTTGTAGACCTGTCCTTACCTGAGGTTGTTTGTAGACCTGTCCTTACCTGAGGTTAATTGTAGGCCTGTCCTTACCTGAGGTTGTTTGTAGGCCCATCCTTACCTGAGGTTGTTTGTAGGTCTGTCCTTACCCGAGGTTCTTTGTAGGCCTGCCCTAACCTGAGGCTGTTTGTAGGCCTGTCCTTACCTGAGGTAGCCGCGGTCTTTCCTGTACACATTCAATAAGCTGTCTACACATTTGATAGGTCTTATAATAAAGGTAGTGTACAAGATGCTCACTCCTGTGGTGATTACGTAACGGGGGTCATAAATTACCATTGACGTCATGGTACATTAAGCTCTATCAATAGTTCTGACCGGTCAAAGGTGTACATATGTCACGTCCTGCGATGATGTGACATCTTGAAATGACGATAAAAAAGTCAACATAATTGAATTACCAGTCCGTGTCTAAACCTGCACTTGATATATATTAGTCCATGCTTAAACGTTGTTTTAATAATGCAGGACTTGAGAGAGGGTGCGATGAAGGTTTGGAATGGGATGGAGTTAGTGGTTAGGCGGTGGGCGTTAGGTGATGACCAGATTTTTTTAAAATTTACTTTCTACGAAGCTCAAGGCATGTAGAAATCACTATTTGGTGGAAAATCATCTTCTCCTACCTACATAAGTATATCACAACGAATCACACAATACATAAACATATCAATAAAAAGGCGGAGATCGTATCTGTAATATAGTACAGGTATAAACATTCCTTTATTTATCCATCGTACTAACAAAAAAGACAGCTAAAACACAAAATTTGAATTGTAGGATTGCACAGTGAGAAATAATAGGACAGTGTGTATAAAACTGATATACAAATTTAGTAAATCATATTCAAAATGCAGTTCATTACACATGTAGAGATACAGACATCTAGACAGTTGAAGCGATTACACTCATTAAGAATATACCGAAACTACACGTGTAAACTGGAAATATTTCATCCCGCATCAAATTTGTAAACGTCTGCAGCTGCATATATATACTGATACGTACAAATACATTCCATTGATTCAATATTGGATTTTGAAATTCCGATCACCTCATGTCCAATCGAAAGCTCATGGACACGTTAACTTTGGGTCACTTATGATTATTAGAAATTAGCGTAATCCGTAATTACTATGAATCTTACTTGAGTTTCATTTTTTGTAAGGCTTGCATTCTCCGTTTTTGGAAACTTCAATACTATGAAATTGTTACTTTCTGTGTTCACTGATCGAGACTTTTCAAAAGCCAAATAGTGAATTGCAGAATATTTAATTTTGATAATGACACTGAAAGTTTATGATTTTAAGTTATACCCTTAGTAAGCGGCCTTCCTGTACCCTGATCAGATAAATTGGAATTATCGGAATTATGTGAATGATTTTTCAGGTGATTTCACGCGATTTTACCATTGTTTGTCACAGAATTTCACACAAGACTTAACGAAAACATAACACAAGATCGGTATGGTGCTGAACTCGGGAATTTTGACTTGCAAACGTACATTGTAGTTGTATAGCATGGAAACATCGTAACCATGTGACAGTTAGCATTACTGTTAAAAGCTAATCCCTCTCACCCATCGTTCCGGCGAACTGAAGTACGCACATTTGAACGGTGTTTACGTGTAGTAACTTCATCCCTGTCGTCTGTCTTCCCCGTGATGTCGCGGCGGGGGGGCTAGATCTACCGATTTAGTCCACGCAACCGCCGCGAACCTGCCACGATCTTTCTGCGATCTCGCCGCGGCTACAAACGACAGGTAAGCAAATCGGTCGCTCCTGCAGGGTTTTGGGAGTCAGCTTACCTCAGCTGTACTGTAAAAATTATTATTTCATATCTGATAGATCTACATCGGACCTATAAATATATGGCTTTATTAGGGAATATACTTAATTTTACTTATCTGCTGTTATTAAACGATGTGTTTAATTTCTTGTCATGAAATAAGATGAATTTGCATGAATTCTAGCTATCAAGAGGTAAATGCAAATGAGAGGCCAAAGAGAGATATTCAAATGTATGAAATGTCTATCCCGCCATCTCATATTTGTCATATACTGTTTAACTCACTTATATTGCATGTCTTTTGCAAATTCCTTTTGGATAAAATCAAATAATTTTCCATCCTCGTTACAAATACTACAAGGACAAGGATCACTTATTTCATTTTATCGAGTGGCTAAATGGGGTTTGATCAGTCATGAAATTTCTTGAAAATATTTGTTTTAGCGTTTGATAAATAAAATTAGACGAGGTAGATCCAAAAGGAGAATTCCTCCCAAAATTATAGACAGAAGTGCTATTCCTAGGTACCCAACGTACGCCGAGGAGGGGCGTGAATCACTGGCACTGGTTCTTTTTCTTAACGTCGCCGACAAAGTCTCCTCGTCAACCATGGTTTCCGTCTTCAGATTATCCAGTTTAGCCTGTAGTTCATCAGTGATGTTTGTAATCGGGTAGATGATTATAGCCTCACTGCTGCTGTTGCACTGACAATGACAGTCCTGGACACTGGACAAAGTATCATCAACTTGGCTGGTGGTGCTTGTGCTTGGGACAGTGCTTGTTGTGATACTTGTACTTGTGGTGCTTGTACTTGTGGTGTTTGTGGTCGGAATGGCAGTAGTAGCTTCTTTTGAAAAAAAAGACATACTTATTACTGATTTCGACCTTTATACCTCCTCAGACTGTTTAAGGCGTATTTTCGTCATGGAGAATTACGTTTTGAATGAAAATGCTGGCATGATACATTTGACATTATGATACGGCATCGTTTTTTGTTTAAACTTGTTCATCTTTTATAAAAGTAAAATTATTTTACAGGAAAAGTTTACCTGTATTTTTTGTTGCATACAAAACCAAATGTTGTGATACCATAAATCCACTTCTTAAAATACTTTTTAAATTTAGTATGATTAAAGTTGATTTGATATGCCCGTCGGTAATGGAGAAAAATATATAAATATATTTACTCACGAGATAATCTGAATGGTGGGGAGCAAACAGCAGAAACGTCTTCGTAGCAGTCGTTTTCATGCCATGATTCTGTATATCCGTCCATCACGATGCAATCCAAACCACCACTATTAGGCCAGCTGGTAGTCAGTGGCGTCCATGGCGCCCATAACTGTAAGTAGCCACTGCTTTGAATCTCCAAATTATTTTCGTCATATCTTCTGTAGCCAATAAAAGCTTTGCTGGAAGGCATAATATATATATATATATAAAAGCATATTGCAGTTTGAAGTTGTCAATGTCAAGAAGGAAAATAGACAGCTACATGTATTTGATAGAAGCTTACTTTTTTTGTAATAGCTAGTACTTTTCTTGTGATTATTAGTTATGAGTTACAATGATGTGCTGAACATGTCGTTAAGAAAAAAAATGTAAATTTGCACTCTACCTCGTCATTGCATAAAAAGTTTATATAATGTAGCTGACATCCAACAAACGATGCATATAATGCATACATCATCAGCAAAACACATATATTTAAGATTTATGAATTTTGAATGCGTTGATCACTATCCTTTATTTTAAGGTCCCAACAAAGATAAGTATTACACTTTGTTCTCTTGTCCTTTGAACTTATTTTATTATATTTTTAACTTAATATGAAATGCTAATAAAACACAACAACCCATCTCAAGATATCCCTTAATCAATTTCGAGAGATGTCAAACAATTGTCAAGTATAGCACTTCAGCAATTCTTCAAATTATTCTTTTCTTTCCTTTCATTGCTTTGCAGTTTTAATTCTGTTTATGCTTTCGTTTTGTATATCATTCTTATCATTATTACGAATTACCCGATAGTAAGTATATATATAACTGTATCTTATTGGGGTCCTGTGACACATGAGTTCAGGGTGAGACATTTTATAAAACAAAATATGTAAAACTGTGTACTAGTGTTCAACTAAGCTTCGAACTTCTGAGTCATAACCGGTCACCTTGTACAAGACGCTTTGCAATACTGACTCTTTCAAACGTTAAAATGTCACAGACAACCAATGTGGCGATGAAAGGAATCAGCTATATCATATTTTTGATATTTTTTTTAAAAGAGAAAGAAAAAAAAGAAACTATATCTATGTGTATAAATATGGTTCAACAAGTCTTCGATATATCACAGACAACCGAAATGGTGATGAAAGGAAGAAGCCGACACATGGATTGGACATTAGATAACGCATACATCGGCAAGTAACCACTGAACAGCGTCTTCGAGCGGTCAGATCATCAAATTTAATCACGAGGTACTCAGATCAATTGCTGTTTAGCCGTTATAGTCATTAACATAAAAATCGAATTATTATATAAATACAAGCTATCTCTTAATAAGTACCTACATGTTAGTGTATTAAAATACTGCTGCGTTAGAAATGATTTTTAAAATTACCCTTATATATGTATTGACAAAGGAGTCGGGTGACATGTTACGGCGGTCGTGTTGATACATAAAGTACCTGTGTACTGGGAAATACTTTATAAATGGTTTGGTATTCACCAGTTTCAAAGTAAAATTATTAGACAAAAAATATGTAAATGAAAAAGGAACAAAATAAACAAATAAACGAATAAAAAGTGTCCCAGCTGATCTTCGACCCCAAGCCATAACCAAGTTCCTTGTTCAAAAAACAACAAGAACATACCAACATGTCAGTATAATCATAATCCTAATTCAAATTCAATAAAACTAGGCACAATATGCACAAAAGAAAGATTTACATGGAAACTTCTGAAAAATATTTAAGGAGAATATAACCATGTGTTCCGGAAGAGTAAGCATCTTATGCTTCATTGACGATGACCGCCATGTAAACCTTGGTCAATCATAGTAAGTAGTGCAACGTTTTCATATGAGAAAGTACTCTCATATGAGTATCAAACACATCCAGCTTCAAATAGCACTAAGAAAAGATTATTCTTAATGAGATCACGTTGACGACCGTAAGAAATTCCCCCATAATTTTCATCAACCTGCATTCTCAAAATCCTGTGTTATGTGCTTGTCCGTCAGTTGACGAATTCTTGCACGAAAATTTTGATAAAAGGAACAGCGCTTTGAATATCGAATGAACTGCGAAAACTGTAACTATAAATATGATATGTTGGGGATGCTGGGATGTTGCTATTCAAAAATGGAAATTCGTCATAGGAAAATTGAAATAATCATGTTTATCATACAGCTTGATGGAAAACAATAAGCTACGGCACCGTGCATTTATCGACTGTTTGCCCAACAGTACCTAAGCAGCTAACCTATAAACGATCTGGTTGTAGTTTGCTAATTAAGGGGAAAGTTGCTGATATACTTCTGAGTCGTTGAGAAATTCAATTTGCAAATGATCTCGTGCATGATATAGCATTTTAAAGAAAACGGGAGTCTTTAGAGACAGAGGACGTTGGAATTTTATAGCAACTATTTCTGTAGGTAAAACCTTGTGCGATGATCTTGTGTGGTCAGGTCATTTTATTTAAGCAATAAGTACCCGGATCATTTCCTTCTTCTACCTCTACATATCACAACGCTTCAGCAATGTACATGATAGCTGGCTATTTAATTATCACTCAAACTCTTAAGCTACGAGAGTTTTAATCATGGAAGGGCCCAAATATCGAGAAACCCTTTGTCCATTGAATGGAATGTGAAACTAAAGATGTTTGGCGGCACTTTTGAAAACTATGCCAGAGAAAGGACGAAACGAGAATAAGTTGGATTCACTTTTAGAGTCGGTTAACTTGATTCGGTCTATCATTGTCAAAATAAGTTGCAGTCTGAAACCTAAAATAAATGAAACCAAAATATAAGTCTATATTCGCTCATCCTTTCATTTCAGTTATTTTATTGTGCCTGCAGATAAGGCATCCAATACCTTAATCATTGTTTGCGGGTATTATTATAGCCCTGTATACAGATATATCTAGGATTGCATTATAATGAAAGAAACTTCGCCTGCTTACACGCTATCCAGTCTATCTAAAGAAAAGATACTAAGATAATCATGCTTCTTTATTACAATTATCTAGATTGCCTATTAATGATAAGGATATGGATTTCTCTCGTTTTACAAATTGTTAATGTTATTTAACCAAACGTTTGTTTATAGCTTCTTACAATGTACCACTTACCATTCATAGTACTATCCAATAAGGGTAAGTCTTATTTTAATACTTTTTATTCTAGAAAAGGAATTAATAGTACGTTTAAAGAACTCAGAAGGATTTGTTCTATGAGAGTTTTTGTTTAAACCACTATGTGCATCCGTATACCCTATTCTAAATTGAAGCAAAGAATGTATTCTCTTGTTATGAGAGCTTTTGTTTTCCGAATAAGGTGAATGGCAGTCCATTCGTGCATTTTGTGAAATATACAAACGAAAAACAAACAACAAAATAAAACAAAACCCCCAAAAAATATTGAATATCTGATAGACAATATCTTCGACGAGATTTGTAGTAAGACCTTCCAACAGGCGATTACTTATAGGTACAAAACTGTTCCTTTTGATTTCAACAAAACAATTTAGAAAGACCATTGGAAAAAATATCAAGAAAATACCAACATGCTACATCATCAAATTTCAAGCTCAAATTCAATAAAACTAGGGCACCAAATATGAATAATATTTACACGGAAACCCATGAAAAAGTATAATGAGAAAAAGTCCAAAATTCCGGAAGAGTAAGCGTATTATGTTTCATCGACGACAACCACCATATAAATTTGAAGCAGAATATACTTTACCCTTCCGGAACATCTGGCCTTATTATCTTTGTATTTTTGAGGAGACATCTTGTAAATCTTTTTATTGTTCTGGTGTGACAAACTTTCTTCGAATTTGTGTGTGAACTAAGATTCTGTCTCTAGGTACATGTGTTTTGGTTGAAAGAAGAGGAGTATTTTTTTTTCGATAGACTAGAATGCATCCAATCAAATGGATAAGTAGATTATCGGACTTTCATTCAAGTGTATAACACTCACTTTACTTTATCATTTCAAATTGGAAACCAACATGTTTTATAAACTGTAAAATTAAAATCAGTTTTACCGACTGTTGGCGACATTATAGAGCTAAGATCGTTGTAGCAAAAAGTGAAAGTAATTAACTTAACATTAATATGATAGTTAAAGTCCAAAGGTAACCCAAAGTTCTCAACTTATAAAAAAAAAACTTTGAAATGTTAACTACGACCAGAATTACGAAAATTAATCCCACCAGCGAGTGAAATACGAGCATACACAATCAAACACAATCAAATGGCTGATGGTGGCAGTTCACCGATTCGCTGAAACAGATAATTCATAAGATCATTTAGACCGGAGTCAGTTGATGAAAAAAGAACGAAATGCAAAGGTAAGTGAGAGACAGAAAGGTTAATATAGCATAGATAAAGCTGCTGAAAGTGACATATGGACTCGACTCACTCTAGACAAATGTATTGGTCCAATTAGACAAGGTCCAAGTTCTGATCGCTACTATTCAGGTTTGAACACTTCGAATTGTTCCTGAAACTTTTTTTTATAAAATGTCATTATGTGCATAAAAGTCCATAAGTTAAGCTATTTGTTTTGCAATATTTCAATTTCTCTTTACATGAGGAACGTTGTTGAAGACTGGGGAATCCCTATGTCGTGCTAGGTCTGTGATGTCTCCTAATATATACAAGAAGCAGATAAAGAATGACGGAATATTAAAGTACCAAAGAATGAAGACAGTGTTTACACATAATATATGTATTTTATGTTCAATTCCATGCTTCAATTCACATGTATTGGAATGGACCTCATTTAGACACATAACTTGAGAAAATATTACATAGCATATTCTTCACGTTGAACGTAGAAATGGCCCTGTATTGTACTTTTTTTCTTTCTTTTTTTCTTTTTATAGTCGGTAATTTCTAAAAGATAAACGACGAAATAACGCAATAACGCGACATTCCTTTCTGCCCTTTGGGTTTTTTTCTTCTCCAGGAAAAGACGAGAATCGACAAATCTCAATATTCATTTGCGTCCTTTCTGGACAAAAAGATTTAAAGACGAATGATCGATACCGAATAGACGAGAATTATGGTCGCTAATCTACCTGTATTTATTTCGTCTTGTCGAGTATGATTTTTTCGTTACAATATGATATGTATCGCACAACATCAGTTTTCTCCAACATATCAAACACGAGGCCATATATAATTTAGATAACTG